TCCCATCCACGTCCGTCGTCTTGTACTTGGGCTATGCATTGGGTATACAATAACGCAGTGATGTCAATTCTTTTTTGTAATGCTGGATTCTTTTCGACGCGCGACATCTACGCGATTTCATTGGCTGATCGCTACAAACCCATTGTCGACAATGACGACCTCAGGCTCATTTCTCACCTGCTAACCAACACCTCGCTAAAGCTCAGGAACCAATTCTTTTCTGGCAGACTGTTCAACACCAGCATTGGAACACCGCAAGGCGATTCCCTTTCTCCTGTCCTCTTTATCGTCAACCTTGAAGCAGCACTGCGCGACCTCCGACGAGACCTCTTGCCCAAACTGGACATCAACTTCAAGACCATCGACTACGCCGACAGTATCGACATCCTATGCTCCTCCAAGAAGCCATCGACGGCATCATCGAAACTGCTCCCTCTACCTTGGCGCAATGAGATCTCACAATAAACCCAAAACAACTGAAATTACGACCTTGATAACACAAGACCGCCAAAACAGTCGCCACCTATCTATTCCTGGCACACAACACGTATCCTTGGAAGCCTCTTGCACGACGCTAACGACGTCCCGAAACGAAAGACACTCGCCAGCTTCAGAAATATGTGGAAACTTTGGTTACGCCGAGAACACATTGCCGAAAAGACTCGTCTCCATCTATATGACTGCTACTGTACGTTAAGCCTATCCTTCTTTACAGCTGTGGAACTTGGTCCCTCACGCAGACCAAAATGAAGTCCCTTGAACAGTTTCACCGCCGTCAACTACGCTCTCTCCTAGGCATCCAGTTCCCCACAAGAATATCAGACGAAGCACTCTACCGCCGATGCACTACGAAATCACTACACCTCTCGATCTTCCAGCACCGATGGAATCTATTTGGCCGCATCCTACGATGACTTGAGGACATTACCGCCAACACGTTCCGGGCCTGATGACTTCAAGTACTATTCGTACTACTTATGTAAGGTGCCATAGATATTAAAGTCTGGTTCATGTGGTAGAGGTGGTGTCATGTTTGGTGCAGCATTCCGCTTTGCTGGACAAGGCAATGACACTTTCAGCAGCTTTTTCAGCACGGGACAACCTATTCCACTTTACCTTCGCAAGTGGAGGGACATATCTTGCTCTCTTTTGTCCTTTTCGAGCCGTGGTTTCCTTTGTTCGGTCCTAGCTGTCATTTTTTCGTCTTCGCACCATAAACTGCGCTATTTTAGGAAAGCCAACGAGCTTTACCATACGTGCCTGCGATACGAGCTCTTTTACTCCACCCACGTGCAAGTAACGAACGCAAAATGCACTGCACCAAGTGACATTCAATAGCTCCGGATAGATCGCAGTCAAATCCATTGCTATATGAAGCATGCATGCACTGCTCAACAATGTTTGTCACCCAGTTCTTCCACTGTGGCAAATGACACACTCACACCAGTCATGTCGGCATGGTTTCCTGAGCTTAGTTCGTCAAAAGGAATACTTTGAAGAACAATGACTAGTAAACAATATGATTCACAAACAAGTCAAAATTATTATGCTTTTCGGCATGCGATAAAAACATTTGATTTAAGACACTTAAGAAAAATCGATTCTACTGACTCAAGTGCAATATTTACATCTAAAGCCGCTCTCAACTTGGAAACCAAAATTGCAACGTCGGGCCATGGAATCAACCAACGCGTGAAAGAATTCCATGGGCAAATTGTCGCACTTGCTTGATGGCATTGAGAAAGCCGGGGATTTATCAAATTTTGCTTTTTGTTGCCGTAAACTTATCTTGCGAGATACTCAAAGAAGTCTCGGTGGGTTTGAGGTGGGGGGACAGCGCAAGATCAGTGAACAAGGCGCCATTGTGCTCCTTGAGAAATGTTATGAACGCCTTCGAAGCGTCAATTGATGCTCCATCGTACAAGAACAAAATGTAGGTCATGCGTCCAACGAGCAAATGGGGACAGATAGTTGCCGAGGTTGCCGATGTACTAGGTGGAGTTCTGGGAACCCTCCAATATCGTCATATCCGCCACACCAACGCCAGACGTGGAACCTCAAACCATTACATCACCACCACCACTTGAACCAGATATTAATATCTATGGCACCTTCCGTAAAATGTATAAATAGTACTTGAAGCCATCAGGCCCGCCGAGACAGCATTTCTTCTCGTCAGATCAAGATTTCGGTCCGGTTGGGAGGTATACAAATACGTCTTTGCGTAATTTTCAGATGGGTAGTATTGCGGGCGTCTTTCAGCCCGGAGAATGCTTTCTGTTGATGTACTTGAGGAAACAGTATGCACGAAATTGTCGTTGACAAGCTCTAATTGAACCTTCGAGCTCTACCTCCTCGTTAAGACTTCTAGCAGACTCTCCACTGGCTGACGCCGCAAGATAGAGACGGCGGCAGTGGTCCTGAAGAATGAATTTCCTGGCCTTTCGCGGCTTAAACGACTTCCCATATGACTCGTGGTCCATAACGAAGAACAGTGTCTTTGAATATCCATAAGTGTTTTGCAATCGCGCGACACCAACATTTGTGCAGCCGAAACGCCTTCGCCATTGTTTGCTCCTTTATGTACACATGAAGACTATGGGAAAGTTGTCTTCCCATAGTCTTCATGTGTTTACTCATGTTGATATGATAATGTGTCTTACAGCCACTTCAAAGCGCGCATTTTGGTTTCTACTCGGTGTCGACACGAAAAATTGTCAAATGACCTACAAGCATTTGGTGATACATCAAAAAGTAACTTCCCGTCATGAGACATGTGAGTTTGAGCATTCAATTGACGTTGATGCATCGAAATATTCGCCAATGAGCGGTGAATTCTGCTGCATCAATGGCT